ATGCTGCTGGGGTGTGGGAGCTGCCGGCCAGCCTAACTACACCATGGGGACAGCAATTGATGATAGTCTAAGGCTTAAGATATGTGTGTAGCAAGAGCTAAGGCCACAGCGAATGCTGCAGGATATAAAAGGACTTAGTCGCATGTTAACGCAACGCCTACGCAAATCCATAACAACAGCAAGCCAAGCCTGCCCAAACCAACCCAAGCCAAGCCATCTCCCCTCAGACGCTGCAATGCAGCTCTTGGCTCGGGGCTCTGCGTTGGTCTGGTCTGGTAATGCCTCCCCAAAGTCATCGTCCTGCTCCTGTCTAACTTTCATTATGAAGTCATAAACGCACATGCAGCCAAGCCGACAAAAAATTTGGGGAATGCCGCGGGTTTCTTTTTCTTGAAATTGGAATGGTGGGGGTGCTGGAGCTTTACTTGTTTTTGTATTTTTTTTTTTTTTAGCACATGTAAAAATGCTTGTTATAAAAAAGGGCCAGCAGATGCGAGGACTGTAGAAGAGTGAATACGCTTACTGAGATAAATTTGATAATGACTGTCATTCCTAGCAAAAATCAGATTTGTAACTGTTTAGATCGATTGATGATAGGGCAGTAATCCGATTTAGGGTATTCGAAGTATAAGTCTGTTAAAAATGTTTTTTTTTTTTTTATATAAGAACTTTCTTCATGGTTTTAACTGTAAGAATCAAGAATCAACCCATATTGCAAAAAAAAAATAAATAAACAAATAAAAAATAAATCTTAAAGGAATAAAGCTTATGGATGCTCAATTTTTCTTTTTATATGAAGAAAAATGATTTCGTATGTATCCTGATACTTTCGTATTAAATCCAGGTTATATTCTTATGCTTAAAAGAGAGAGAGAATATTTGAATGATCAAGAAGATTTGGGTCTGATAAAATATTTTCCGAAAATAAAAACAAAAATAAATATATTTTTTTTTTTTCGTAAATTATTTTATATTTATTGATTTCCAATTCCTAGTTTAATTGGTATAATGTATTTACGAGAAAAAGTATTTAGTTTAAAGAACTTAGCAATGTCAATCTTTGTTAGGGTATATTCATATATATATAAGAAGAAAAAAATTAAACAACGAGATGTGGACAATTTTCGGGCAGTGCCTCGAGCTTAAACTGTTATTACTAGTCGGCTGAGGGGCTGCTGTTTATGAGTTGTAAAGCCCTCAGTCAGACAATAGCCTCATCGAGGCTGCAGCAGCAGCAGCAACAACAACAGCAACACATGCCAACTAAGCCCCAGGACATATTACGTAGCCAGTGTGGAGCCATTGCCCGGTCTAGTTTGCTATTTTAAAGGGCCTTCAGGGCAAAGCGGGGCTCATGTACATGTGTCGAAGGGGAGGGCGGAGAGCGAAGAGCGGTGAGCGGTGAGCAGGGGTGGCGATGAGGGGTGTTGGCATAGGTATTCACGTAGTTGTCAATGGTCTGTGGTAGCTTCTTATGCCTGGCTGCATTTTGTATTTATGTTCTTTTTTGCCGCCCATAATATGTGCCAGGCTTTTCACAGATCGGGCGCTAGAAACAGAGCGGGAGAGAGCCGGAGCGAGAGGCGGAGACAACGAGCGGGAACAGTAGGGGATTTGTGAATGCTTTGCTAGGTAAGCATTGTAAATTGTGCAAATTTCTTTGGCCTAACAACGACAGGCAACAACTCAATTTCCAAGCGACATAAAAGATATAGAAATAAATTTGCTTTATATACCTATAAAAAATATAAATTAAAATAGGTCACAGGGTTTTAATATACATATTTAATGTTTTATTTCAGAATTTATATTGTGGAATATTTTACTTGGGATGCTCTTAGAATATTCTTACATGGTCGTATTATAATAAAAATATATTTTATTTATAGAATTTCCTTGCTTTGAATATTACTTTATTTTAATTATGAATCTCTGAATTACTTAAAGCGGAATGAATTAATTTATTATCATTTTATGAGTTTACATATTTATTACTTAAAGCTTTGAGTCT